CAGGCTTTGATGCTGACTCTTTGAGCATCTTGTCATGGTATTCCTCAGGGCTAGTCTGTAGAAGACCTACTGCAGAAGAGCCGACCAACCCAATGGAAGATCATGAGAAGATGGTTAGAACGTCAGCACTACAGTCTTCGATGCAACATCATTTGGACAGACAAGAGTACTTAGCAACATGGCCACAACAGTCTACAACTTCATTCTTAAAACGTTTTCTTTCAAGTATGTTATGTGCATAACTAAAATAAATTAGAAATTAGACAACCTGGATAAATACGTAACACTTAATATTCAGCCAATACCTAAATGAGAAAATATTTAACAGATTTCAGAATCTGAAATGAATGAAATACTCAAAGGAGTTAACCTGTTTCCTTTGTTATTATCTAAAACAAACTACTGAAGAGGCTAGTTCCTTCATAGCAAAAGAGAACTGTGCCACTCCCCAATGCATCGGACGAACACAAATAAGCTTAGGTTGTTAGCTCATCTACAGAGTACAGTACTACAACATGGTTGCATAAAAGCATTTTAACAATGTGTTAAAGGCAATCCTTCTAAAAGCAACAGCAACTAGCTAGAAACATACACAACATATATGCACTAACAAGCACAAACTGCACTACTGACATTAGCAATCATTGCAGTAGCAGCAGTAGAGTAGCAGTTAGCAGTGGCGCCTCTGCAGCTGTGACTCAGGCCTACCAACCTACTGACAGATTTTCCCTTCAGCTTGCTACAGTAGGCAGATGTGCACAGGGGCAGCAACGGTACGGTTTCGGTTACAGGAACAGAGAACAGATGAATGTGTTAGTTGGATGTCCACTGACGCTCCAATCCTCACACTGCAGCATCTTGTTTCTCTTCTGCACCTGCACTACTTCCTACATGCCCACTTGTGGCTTCTACAACATTTTTTTCTCAGATTTTCAAATCACATGCTAGTAAAGTACATCTCTGATCAACCACATTTTAATCTTTTAACAGTGTAACCTCAGATGCAGAAATTGTCAAAAAGATTAAACATTTAGAGCGTGGAAAGGAAGGATAAATATGTCTTCTCCAAGGAACTTTATTAACTACAAGAAGAAAAATAATTGTAAATAGAACTAGAAATGATCAGATCTAACATTTTTTCCCCACTGATTCTACATCATCATCCATTTATTCTGTTTCTGAGGTCAATCCTTCCTAAACAAGTCAAAGCTAATTAATTGACAATAAATAAAGGAACAATAACTGTCACTAATAATGTTCTCAGGTCTGCGAGTTATGTAAATGCTAACAACAAAAAGAAAAAATAAATTATGACAAAACATCAAATTACCACAAAAATGTTTGCAATCAAAATATTTTCTTGCATATGCAAAATATAATCTTAACCATAAGATCTGAATCGAATTAGATTCTCATAGATTTCTCAGTTTTAACGTAAATACTATACAAATCATTCAAATTATTTATTTATAAAACTTCAAAATTATGAAATGCTACTGCCAAACCGTGTTTAAACAATAAAATTTTCAAAATTTATCTTATTACACAGGGCACATCCAGGTACACAATAGTTGCTGAAATTTCATAATCAAAATGTCCATTAAAAACAGTAGTATGCTATCAGGTTAGTAATTTTGTATGTATATTGAGATGTGTTATCAATTATTAATTTTAATATTTCAAAACAAATTCAACAAAAATTTGTATTTACTAATCGAAGATGAGGTTTTGCAATAGGGAAAGAAGATACTAGTCCAGAAGAAAGAGAGAAATGTGGAAAGAGAGACCATGAAATAAAAATTTAAGAAGACAATACAAGGTCTGTGTGAGAGGTCAACCTTATGAAACAAAAAGTCAACCATTTTGGGGGAAGGAAAACGAGAGATTCCAAGAAAGAAAAGAGAAGCAGAAAAAACAGCTATATAAGATACATAGAAAATTAAAAAGGTTAAACAATATTCTACAGCAAAGCACAAACATATCAGGGCAGCTTGGAAAATCCATCAGAGCATGTCTTATACTTCTTGATATTTAGATACGGGGAACCTGTGAAACTGCTGTAAAAAGAAGTAGGTATGTTGCTGACATTTTGCTCATCTAAAATGTGTACCTAAGAAAAGTTTGAGCTGCAAAATCTAATTAATAGCTTACCTACGCCAGCCAACATGCCTACAAGCTTGCTTTCATCATTCCCAATGAGTGGTAATAAAACATCAGAATTAGTATCTCAGCCCACAAATCTATTATCTAATGACTAATAAATCAAATATATGTTTAAAGCCAGAGCAGAACACATGAAAAACTGAAAGAAACAATCAAATTACAAATGAAGACAGAAATTTTCAAAGTTGTTAAGCTTCAAAAAATACTAATCGCCATTTGGTGAAAAAATATAGTTTAATTAAATTTTTTCAAGGATTTTGGTACAAGTAGCAATACATCACCATATACTTCAAGGTGTTAAGCATGTTGTAACAATGCTACTCACATTAGAATCTCAGACATTTATTTAAATAAATTATATCTTCTTAATAAATAACCAAGAACACCTTTGAGGCTTAACACCTTTCAGAAGTACTGTATTCATGTAAAATTTTAAGCAGAAACAATGAAAACAAAAGACAAGGAAGACCAAGACAACTAAAAATGACAATTTACTTTCTTTTCACTCTTCAAGACATAGAACTAGGCAGCCATTCAGAGTTTTAAAGAAAGAAAAAAAGAAAAAAGAAAGAAAAAAAGAAAAAAGAAAGAAAGAAAATGGAAGAAAAAGGTGATGGCATGCAAAGCTTCACTCTTTCTACTCATGCTAATTCTAGTCCGGAACATAGCCAATTTTTTACTATAAAAATTTTCATCAACTTAAAATCACTGATATAAACATTCATTGACATATAATACGTTGAGGAATTCTGAGTTTTAAATAACAAATGTGAAAAAAAATGTCTTCATCGACTGCTGCTTTAAATAAACTACTATATTTTAAATGAAAGTTGTAATACGACTTCAAAATATGAATGAAACTAAATTCAAGTCACAGAATTTTTTACTGCAAGAAAATTATACAATAGTTTTAGTTGAACTAAACCACGCAAATAGAGAAAATATTACATTCAACAGGAGTACGCATTTTCAGCACTATTAAATCAAGTACTACTGAGAAAAATTAATTGTAATTTATGAGCCAAAATGGCAGTCAAAAGAATACATAAATTATAAATTTATTGACAATAGCATATAGGAACAAAGCAGTCAGTAAATGTATTTTACACTTTAATTCTTTTGGCTACGCTTCATGGTTCAGTAATGACAACCCCCTTCCCTATCCCAATCACTCATTCTCACAACCAATGAATGCATGTTAGAAACGACAAAAACATATTATGAAGATGTTTACAGAAAATTTAAAGCAATATTTTTGTAGGCAATATAAGATTTCATTAAGCAAGATTATTCTTTAAAATATGAAAATTGATTACTATGAATAAATGTTCAAAACCGAAACTTACATAACATATGAAACATAGTACAAATTATTCATAAAACTTATTATTTAATCTGATATCAGAAGATACCTTGTGCATACATTTTAGCTTCTTCTTACTACTTTCCTTATCTACTTTCTGAAGCATGATACAAATTTTCCCCTCAGCAAAACTTTCAGTTGTTACTAATTTAAATGTTTTTTGTCATCAAGTAATTTATCAAATAAAATGAAATTCACTTCCAATAAACATTTGTACATGAAGTAACAAAAATATCTTCAGTAGTTTCCAGTCAAATTTTTTGTTGTCACTGTGGTCTGGTCTGTTGATTCACTTATTTTGTTTATTTCACTGCTGAACATGAATTTTGCAAGAGAAATAATGTGTTCAACAATAATTTTTAATTGTAAAAATTTTATTCACCTGACTGGTGATTCTCAGCCAAAATCATTGTTAACTGTCACCCAAATCCCAAATTACACTTGGTGGTGAGAGATGATTATGGCTCTAAATTTGAGTAGCAACTGACAAAGGACTGAAGAATGTATTTTTCTTTCAATCTACAGTGTCAGTATGAATTATATATAATCTTATATTTAAAACTTTTGAAGAATTCATATCAACTACTTAGAATTCCGATGAATTCTATGTAGATACTGACACATTAACTCAATAACTGAAAGTGACTGGATAAATCAAATTCAATAAATACCTAAAAAATTATCCAAACTCAAAAACATACATTATTAAATCTCTTACAATTTTTCTGTCAATACTATTTAAAAACAAAAGGAAAAAATTGAACCATTCTCAGGCCTGAACATGACATCACTTTTATGTTTCTATCAAATTTCACAAACTCTGAATTTAGGAACAGAATATATCAGTGCTACATTGCAAAAGTCAAGGTATTTTATGGTGCTATGACCTAAGATACAATCGACATTAATCCTCATGCAACCAACTGGGTTTGGAAACCATTTCATTGTTTAATATTATTCCTTTAACCTCCACAGATTTAAAAACTTATTCCTGAGAAAGAACATTAGTCCAGAGTAAATTAAATTTAGTAGGGTTAGATAGTTTTAATAACTATTCTCAGCAGGTGAGCAATCACAATACTTTCCTACTAAGAAGCACCAAGAACACTAATTTTAATGTTTTACAACCACCTTTACATACTGTTTATAATTAGTGACACTCACAAAACAAAATGAAAGTATTAGTAAAAAACAAACAAAAAACTAATCCGAATGGATAGACTTCCTTACAAAACCAATTATTTTTGGTGATTTTTGTAAGAAGAAGCTTTTATCAAATATTCATATGCATAACGATCATGTGAAGTTACTTTAACTGTTATGTCCTAAGAACAGAAATTAAATTGCAGCCACAAACATCCATGTGAAGTGGATTTCCTAACAAAATAATTGTTTTTCTTGAATATCTATCAATGTGTTTAAGATTAAAAAAAAAGAAAGGTTAAATAAAAACTACATATGAATAAATGCTTACTTGGCTGGAAGTTTATACAAGTAGCCTTTTCCTTCATCACTCCACACTATCACACGATCTGTTGCCAGGAAATCACCACCTAACCATCGCTCACCGCGTGGAGATATCACAGAACACAAAACAGAGAAGTCACCAGCGTCATAGATCTGAAATTATTACAAGCCTATAATATGTATCACAATAATTGAAAACAAATTCTTATTTGCTAATTTTCTAAGGAAATGGAATAAGCACATTTAATGTAAAAAAAATCATTCCTCTAATATCTTTTGAAACATTAAGATCTAAAGAGAATTTTATAATTTTTAAAAGAACAAAGAAAAAAACAACTCTTAGTGAATAATATTTTAATCACAAATCAGCCCCCTTGAAAAGAATGGAAACATACCTCATCCCTTTTTTGCAGCTACGTCTCTTAGCCATCTTTTGGGCATTGAGTGTGTATGTATAGATTTTTGGAGTAATCCTCCATTAACTATTGTCTTTTGTCTCCTTACATTGCAGTCAATCATTGTCTTTTATTCATTCAGTCAGGAGCTTGGCACTGTTAGAAACCGGGATTCCCAGATGGTCACCCATTCAGGAATCCATGGTGTCTCGAGTTGCTTAACTTTCATGACTTCACGAAGTGTAGTTAAGCAATTTGGCTAACAATGCCAGCATTATTTTCCTTACCTTTCAATTCCTTACCTGCCAAAACTTTGAACACAACACAAGCACAGTGCGCTGATTATATGCACAGCATGTCATGCTAAGGGCATTCAAACAACGAATCTGTTTGCTTTCATTTTCAAACAATGGTTCAGAAGCTTTATTTTCTTGACCAGTTAAAGTCCAGACTTTCACAGTGCCAGTTGTAGTCAAGGCAAGCACCACATCTTCTGTAAATTTATATCAGGAATATCAATTAACTTCACTAACAGAATGGTAATAGACTTTTGTTTTAATAAGTATTCAATTTGATTTCAATAAATTACATTTTATGACTTAATTCAGGTTCTAATAAAATACAATTTGCGATAATGTATAGTCTTAGGAACTACTACTATAATTCAAGAGGTTGGAGTAGGAACAAGGTCAGTCGCACCAGCCACCAGCAAGCCACCCACTGGTCATAAAAGATAATATCTCAATTTTGGTCCAAGTAAGTTTCATTTTGTTACTACACTGTCCTAAGCTGTCTATAGAGGTCAGCAAGATAGATATACACAGTAACAACAGAAGTCACATTTTTACTAAAATCGAGATATTTAACAATTACAAATATCTTAGGGTTTATTGTAGCTGGTGCGGCTCTTCTTCTTACTGCCCCAAGTCTTCAATTAAAATATAGGTGTTGTGGTAAGATATCTTTGGCATTTTTAAAATAATTAAAGATGTTGTCATTGCCAACAATGTTTTTTAATTCAAAAGCAGCTTTCGATGGCTTAGCCATCATCATCAGTTGTCTGCTAGATGGAAGCCACAAAACGACTCGACTCGACTCAACTCGACGTAGTCGTTTTGTGGCTTCCATCTAGCAGACAACTGATGATGATGGCTAAGCCATCGAAAGCTGCTTTTGAATTAAAAAACATTGTTGGCAATGACAACATCTTTAATTACTTCAATTAAAATATTGACACAAGAAGGTATTTCATTTTTTAATAGAAGATATAGAGAAAGAACAATAACTTCAGATTGTTTTAGGAAAAAAGTATGCGAATTTTACCAGATTTTATAATTTACTTTACTACATCATACGAAGTCAAAACATCAAATTACATTCAAAGATATATAATAGTTTTAATGTAAATATCAAAGAAACAAAGAATATAGATGAGATTAATTAAGATAGTACAATAAGAAAGTACACAAATAACAAATTGGATGCAATTACCAGAAGCAGACATTTTTCACAGTGACTACAAGAATTTTGTAACATTTAGGAAAACAATTTAGGATTTTCACCTTTTCATTTGATTGCGGAAAACCACTTGAAAACTGGCTGAAGTCAAATTTAGACCACACATTCCCAATGAAAAGTCACCTTTGCCACAAAATAAAGGAAAAAAATCAACAGAACTCACAAACAAAGAAAATAGTTCCATATTTTCCAATTGTGTCAGTAAATGTTATGTCATGCATGTGACGTGTGTGTGTAAGAAAGGGAGTGGGTTTGTATGAAGGAGGGAGCTGGGGTGGGCACACATGCGTATTTACACATGCAAAGATCTCTACATTACAACTTCTTTTAATTTTCTGAAAACATGTCTAATGGTTTTTTTTAGTAGTTGAATAAATATTAACAATATTTTAAAGAATGTGGTTAACAATGTAGACAACAAAATCTACCGATTAGAAAGCAACATCAAAGTTAACCAGATGAAACGGTACCTGAAATACTTTTAAAAATCTTTTTTATTTTTTTTAAATTTCCATTAATTTTACTTCCATTTTAGCTGCTCCTGCATACAAAATGAAAAAAAGGCAGCAATGGTGCACAAATTTGAATGCAGTTTCTTAAAGAACATTCAAGTTTTCTGAGATCAGTGACAACTGAATTATTTACATTGCATTATTTATGACTTTTAATATTTCAAAAATCCAGACTGTTCAACGAAAATGTAACCTGCACCATGCCTTTAAAGCATTTCATGTTCTATATGTAGAGAAAAAATTTGGAGGACTTTTTGAAAAAATAATCGTTTAAGAATTGCTTATATTCCACACAAAGACTACTCATATTTTGGAAAAATTGTACTTATTTCAAGATCTATCTTTGAATAACCTGGATTATGAATGAACCAACAAAACCTGCACAGTTTTTTTAAGCGTCCTTCGTGCTAAATGTTTCATCAACAAATTTGAAGCCATTTTTGAGAAGAATTTGAGAAATTTTGAAAATGTTGGAGCTTCATGAAAAAAAAAAAAACAACCAAAAATCTAAATGTCCATTTCAAACCCACAGGGCCTTGAGTTCATACAGATCAATCGGGTAATATCAATCTTGAACAAAATTAACAGTTAATGTGCTAGCATAAAGCTATAGCATAATCATTAGCTCTGTGGTTTACCACAGAGGAATGTTATGGCAAATGCTCAATTTTTTGCTATCAAGGACCCACAAAATGAGCACTCTGGTTACACAACATACTAGAGGATGAAATTTTTAGGAACATACAAGAACAATAGGAACAACATTTTTAGGAACATGCAAGTGTATGGTGTTTAAAAGTTTAAAAATTTATTGAGTTATATGAGGGAAGTTAAGGTAAAACCCCCATTATCTCAGAACTATGACAATGGGGAATAGCCCCTTGTTCTACTGAGCCCTCCAATGCCCTTTCCCTTCACTATGCAAGTACATAGTAGGCAAGAAAGTAACTAGTGGAGCAACGACAGCACATATTTTCTCATATTATTTATGAAATATTATACTACTATAGGAACCTCCGCAGTGAAATTGGAACTCTGGTCTTTCTAGTCAACTCTACAAGCATGTCACCACTGAAATTGTTATATTCAGCTTTCTTGAAGCTTTAAAAAAACTAGTGGTTCGTTGCATTATTTCTAACTTATGGGAAAATTCAGAGAGCTCAAAGAAAATGAGCCACTACTTTTCTTTTTTTACTGTCCTTTGCTACATACAGGGAAAAAAATTAAAAATTTAAAATATCTTTTTTAAAATTCAAAAGGCCTTATATTTATTCAGATCGATATGGGAATATCAGTTTTGGAGAAAATAGTCTAAACAGTTAAGGCACTAGTGTTGAATGCAGACAAATAGATGTTTTCCACCAATTGATATTTGGTATCAAGGATTCACAAAATGTGGATTCTCTCTACATGTATACGAGAAAGTAATTCACTATATATAGGAACAAGATTTATCTACTTTTTTGTTACCAGGTCTCGACAATAAGAGTTTCTCTGTAAGAAAATCTCCAACTTTGGTCGCAACATTACAATATTTTCAGCTTACTATGTAAAAGTAGTAAGGTGAAAAAGTAAAAAGTGAATTAAAATATTAAATTTTCACACAATAAAATACAAACCTTTGCGTTTAGCTGGTCTCAAAATGTGAAGAGCACATATCCAATCAGGATTAACTCGAGAACTTAATGTGAAGACAATTTCTAAGCTAAAAGGGTCCATAACAAGTACTTCAGCATAATAACCATTGCAGAATAACCTTACATCATCCTGGCCAGATAGATGATAAGCCTGGAAAAGAATGATGTAATATTAAAACCAAAGCAACTAATGAAGAAAGTATATTTTCATTGTGTTTAAAGTGATATTTATTTATTTATTTATTTATAATTTGCATACTGACAGTCCACTTTTACATTGATAATGTAATTATTGGAAATGTAGCACTATTTCAAATACACGATATAAATATATATTTATATCACATATTTAAAGTTAATTTCCTGATTCTAATATTTAATATTATGATCAGAGCACAATTGTATTATCTGGAAATATTTTTAATATCCCTGTACTCCTGATAAAACACAGACCACTGAAGAGAAATCTGAATCACAATGACAATATTGATACAGCATGTAACAAATGGAGCTAAATTGACACATACTTTCTTGCATTACTGCAAACTTTTGCAATTTTCGAAAATTCAGAGAGTTCAATAAAAATGAGATCTGCACCATTTTTTAAACATCCTTTGCTGTATCTAAGGAAAGAAATTAGAGAAAATATTAGGAGCCATTTTTGACAAAAGACTCTTTATAAATTCTCTTTTCTTCAAGCAACAATTTAATGAAAACTACAGATATTTTTAAAAGAAATTTACAGATCTATTTTTAAAAATAGACTTCATTAAGGAAAAAATATCTATCATTAAGGACGTACTTCTACAATGTTAATTTAGTACAACTTCATGCAATTTTCAAATCACAGAGTTCACTGAGCAAGCGTACTTTATAAGTGAACTTTGCTGTATTTGAGAAAAAATTTGAAGCTATTTTTGACAAAATAATTGTTTAGAAATTGCTTATATTTCATGCAAAATTACACAAAAACTTCAAATCCTTCAAAGAACAAATTTCATTAAGAAAAAATGTATCTTCAATATTGTTGTTGTAGAAAGATGCTGAAAAAAGTTTAAACTTTTCAAAATTTTGAAAATTCAGAGAGTTCAATGGAAATGAGAGCTGCGCCTTGGCTCTATCCAAGGAAAAAATTTAATTAAAAAATCTGAAGCCATTTTACAGAAAAGTTTGAAAGTATGAAGGCTTTGTGTAAAAACCTCCAAAAATCCAAATCTTTTTCAAATTAACAAGGTCTTGATTTGGTCAGATCAATTACAGAATATCAATTTTGGAGAAAATTATATGAAAAGTTCCAGAGCTAGCAATGATCACGGACAGAGAGAGACACACAGCAAGACAGACTGACAAACATTGACTACACATACTAGAGGAAGTATATATAGCAATAAAATTGATCTACTTTTTTTTGATATTAGAGCCCCACAATACAACTTTTATAGGCAAAAAATCACAACTATCTGCTGCAGCATTACAATACTATCTAACTGGTATGTAAGTATATAGTAGAGGAGAAAGTAAAATGCACAAACGAGCCTACAATGCTACAGCAGACAATGTGAATGTGCTCAAAAATATAATCCAATATGTACCCGAGGAAACAAATGATAGAACACTCTCCAATATATTGAATGTTCCAATATATCAGTCAAATCCAATATTTTAATCAATGATTTTGTAAAAAACATGTCTTCAACAGTCATTACAAGTTTCAGGCAAACAAACTGATTCATTCACTGATCAAACTGTTTATGGCAAATTATTTTGAACACAACAATAAATTTTTCATTTGTACAGAATCATTTTTGATTTAAATCTCTCAATCAATATTCATGGTGATAAAATTACTTAACTCTTTTGAAATGTATTTTACATGCAAGTATCCAGCATTTATTATTTTGTTTCTTTCTTGAAAACTAACCTGAATATTAGTGTGAACATAGGGCAATTTTACAACTTCACAGCATTTTCCATCAACCAAATCCCAAGTGCACATTTCTCTGAAACACAGAACAATTCATAGCAAACTGGTAAATCATGTTAAATTCTCAACGCACAAGCTATGGCTATATGAGTAGAAAATAGTTCAAGTGTCAGAATCAGAAAACATAACAATAACTTATTATTACAAACAAATGCTGACATATAACAAGATGCTGGTTGATTTCCACAATAATCTAAAGTTATTATTTACAACTTAATAAAAAATATAAAATCTTGGCTGAATATCACTCGGCATCTTTAAAAAAAAATGTAAGATTATTACACAAAAACAATCATAAAACAATTCTGTAATGAAGCATACATTGCTTTGCATTATATTTCAACATCCTTGAATCTTTGGAAATCTTTTATAACATGAGAAGAATTTAAAAGGATATATTTACAATGAAACTCAATATATGTACCAGAGATATAACTTCCAAACAGAGTGATGACAACATATAAAGTCTGGACAAGAATGTTTAAATGTACTAGACCATTTTCATTTGGAACTAAAATTTTGAGGTTTACTGTCATCTACTCATTACTCAAAAATATGTTAATATTTATTTCTTACTAAATATTACAAAAATAATTACAATTGTAATTACTTAGGATATAAATGCAAGATTTGGTTGGACAATGGTTTTTGAAAAGTGCATATTAAGGACCAGCATAATAATTTTATTACTGTTAATTCATACAACAGAACTATGTTCTCTAAGATCAATATAGCTTCACATGAGCATTTACATATTATTAGTTAAATGTACACGAATTAATTACAAGAGTAAGAAATGGTCAGTTAAAATTTCTTGTTTATTTGAGGCACGATCCACAATCCATGAAATATGCATTTAAAAATTAGAAAAGATGAGAGACCAAAGAGGTCACATGGGCAAAGAATAAATTTGCTTTTTATGTTAATTCTGAACATAACGGTAACAAAATAAATGATGCAAATTACCTTGCAAGTAAAGTGCACAGCTTTGAATGCTTAATTCTGTTATATGACCAAGGAAACTTAGAACTAATCCATCACACTACTGTTGGATACATCTAATTTATGGTACCCATTTTAAATAATTTAATTTTTGAGTAGGCAAACATTAAATTTTTATTTATATTACATTTATATTAAAATTTTTAACTAATTTCTTAAAAATACTAAATACAAAAATTGAAATAAAAAGAATTATATTTTTAATGTTTTCAGAAATATTTGAGAGATTACAGAGTTATTTTTAGATATTATTTCCTACAAATATTCTCAATATTTTTATGAGCATAATTCACAATCGCCAGCCTCCAGTTATTCCAGATTAGAGAGGAATCGAGAAAGTTTTCCAAATAGGACATGTAGCCCTCAGTTGGACTAACCTTTCAAAACATTGCTGATAGATCTTACTCCCTCATAACTTCAGTTCATAAAAGGAAATCTTTGATGCAATAAAAGTGAAACAGTATTCATGCATACTCTTAATTGATTATGATTGTAATGTAAAACTAAATCATACCCTGTTTCTGATGAACTAACAATGAAATTGTTATCACTCATGATACTGGCCTTGGATAGGCACAAAACAGGTCCAGTATGTCCTACCAATAAGCATCTTGGAGTCATCTGAAATGGACAAAATCATTAAAATGTAGGTTTATTAATACCTGGTATCCAGTGGCACACCTGGGGGTCCACTCATGGGGGTTTCAGCAACAATAAGATGTCTATTTTTATCTTTTGGTTTGAGCACTTTTGAAAGGTCATAGTTAAATTTTAAATAAAAGTATAAGTTTTGATATACACATTTAATATACCTCCCATCTCTTATTGAAAGAAATTTTTGAATGAAACTATCTCCCTAAATACTTGTCAAAAGCCTAGAATGTGGGAGGAATGGTTATAGACTTTAAAAGAGAAGGGAGATTTCATTAAGATTTAAATGTGTAAGACTCCAAAATCAAAGGAAAACATGATTTAATCATTGCAAAGTTTATTACAAGAAAAATTTGATAATTAGTTTATTGACTAATTCACAGTTCACACAGAGATGCAAGATATATTTATTCTGGTATAACATCTTATTGTACAAAGAAAATTTTTGATATATGGCTCTGACTTTTCACATTGTTTTACAAACAATTTTTTACATTTACTAAACAAAATAATATTTTTATTGCAGAAAACATGTATGTGCCTTAGTTTAGATCACTGTACCTTCAATGTGTCAGGATCCACTTGCCATAAACATATTTGCCCGTCGTAACAACCTGTGGCCAAGGTACGTTGATCTCGAGATAGAAGAATACATGATATACAATGTGTAGGAGCTGTTTTGCCCCATAACACAACAGGCACGGAGAGACTGGTTGCGACAGACATTGGTGACGGTTTTAGAAATTGTGTTTCCTTATTGTGGGTACAGAGCCATTGCACTGAAAAAGTTAATGCGGCACTATTCAACAACTAAGCTTCTCCTTGAAATGAGAAAAGTCTTCAAAACTCTACAGTTCTAGCATGTTTTCCATGTACATGCACCACCACCACACTAAATCAATGCAATCAATACAGCTGCACAGAGCAGCTCAGCTACTGACAGTAAGGGCGGAGTGTAAACAATCAGCTGTTGAGCAGGATTGCCAACATGTTTTCATTTGCCAACATCACAAAACCAAAGATATGTTGGCATAAGTGAATCTCACAAAAGGTATTATATCTTAAAACTGCTGGATAATCGGGCATCATCCTATTTTAAATATCATATTGCGCAGTCCTAAGGATTTCTCTACTATACACTTCCTAATTTTGCAAACTTCTGATAATAATATGTTATCTTACAATCTGTCTTTTGAAATCAAAAGCCACTCTTTATAAGAATGTTTGGCTAGTTACAGGAACGTGTCTCTTTCCCTAGGATTCTGGACCGTTGGTCCGAAGTTCTCCCAAAATACGCCGCTGTTCTCCGCAACTGGAAAGAGGGGATGCAACCCTTACTATTTATTTCACGAACACACTTTCTCCGATAAATACGCAAGTGAAAACAAATTACTTCGTTTGTAAAAGGAAATAAACGTTGCTAGTTGCAATTGACAGAAGTCTTAAATTTACCATAATTATTAAATTATTAAATTTACAATACCAAGGCGACCTCCTGAGTATTATATGCGCGCGTATTCTTGAGCCCCGTAATACTCGTACCTACCTCCACTCCTCGGCCAACATTAGTTGAATTAAGAATAAATTATAGCAACGAGCATTATAGATAAAATATGATAACCGAAAGCGTTCGCTCCCGTTTAATAGAAACTATTTTGAATCGAAATACGAACAAAATTTTGATTTAAAATTACTTTTGTCAAAATAACCAAACTTCCCACTCACCTCGCAACTAGCGAAGAGAGGGCTCAAGAAAACGTGCGCGGGTAATGGTAAGGATCGCTCACAGAAACAAGGGGCTTGTTGCACTAGATTCACGGAGGCCTCATTTCAAACTAAAGTTCCGCCTTCCCCAACGCACAAACAGAATTAATTTCTACATGCAACAGAAATATCCTATACCCAGATGCGTGATTAGGGGGGGGGGGACTGCCTTATGTACGATATGGAGCTACAAAATACATATTAAAGGTTTTATAGGCACACCTAAATAACTTGACTCTAACACGCTAACTTGGTGGCTGTCCGCACATGACTTTTGAGAAATGTCCGAGAAGCTAAATGTTCAGAACAAAACTTAAATGCTACAAGACAAGGCATTCATTATTTATTTTCGTATTCATTATTCACAATATTAGGCAAAATAGCGTTAAAAACTAAGGTAATTACAAAGGCGTAGTCTACGGGACGACGCGTGTTAAAATGGCGTATAACTGAAATGGGCACGCACACAACGTTACGTGTATTTCATTGGCTAGTCACACAATAAAGGTAACTAGAGTTTAAGGAACGGGGAGCGAGGAAAGGGTGGGGAACGCTTTGCGCACTAGTTGTGTCATTTGACAGAAGACGCCTTTGAAATCTAGGATTAAAATTGTAAAAATGTTATTCATTTTTTTAAATACAGCTCAGCAATCCAAAACATCTGAAAAAATTCTCAACGTTTGGTGTTTTAAGAAATACTTTTGCATTTTTTCAAGCCTCTTCCAGGGTTCTAAGGCTGTAAAAATTTTGTTGTTATTTGTTTAAAAAACTTGGCATTTGAATTTGGCGCTGAGAAAATATCAAACATGTTGTTTTTTTTCTGATAGTATACATTATTTTGTCATTTTTCATATTTTTTTAATCATATAAAATAGTGTTAAGTTAACGAAAAAAAACACGTACCTTGCTATAGAAGGGTGTGGGTGGCGGGACGGGGCAAAGACATATTATGTATAAGTTAGAATTATAGTGTAACTACTCGTATGCCATTTGGTTTAGGGTAACTTTTCACCATCTTATGCGGGAAAACCTTTTGCCCCTCCCCAATAAAAGATCCAAAATCTCGCGGTTAATGTGATAAGAAGTATTTTCTAAAATTTATTTTGAATAAAAAACGGGGCTCCCAATGAACAAATGCCAATCTAATTCGCGTACATTTGTATTTATTTTAATTCGAACTATTTGTTTTTGCTATCCGGAGTCTTTTAGTTATTTGAAAGAGTTCCCTTTAAGACTACGTAGGCTTCCAGACAAGAAAAAGTGTATGTAATACATTGTGGTGACAAAAGTGCGGCGGCGATGAAGCGAAGTTGCGGCGGCGAAGTTGCGGCGGCGATGGTGTGACGGTTAGCGTACCGGACTAGCATACCCAAGCTGGCGGGTTCAAAGGGGTTGTAGTTGATGAAAGGGGCATAGCGAAATTTGCGTGGTCAGACGGAAGAGCGGGCCTGATGGCCCGAGTCTCGCCACGTAAAATAAGGCAAATTCAATTCAATTCAATTCAATTCAAAAGTCATGACAATTCGCAGTATACAAATGGAAGTAGTATCGCGTACAAAAGGTATAAAAGGCAATGTATTGGCAAAGTTTTCATTTGTACACAAGTTATTCATGTAAAAAGGTTGCAGGCAGCACACCGTGAAATAAACGCAGTAATCAATGTGAGACCTGCGACGTACCTATCTGTTAGGACAGTGCAGCAAAATGTGGCCCTTGGACTAGTGACCATATTGATTGGACCCTAGGCAATTGAAAAATCGTGGCTTGGTCAGATGAGTCATGATTTCAGATGTTAAGAACTGATGATAGGAACCGAGTGTGACGCAGACTCCATGGAGCCATGAACCCAAGTTGCCATCAAGCAATTGTGGAAGCTGATAGTGACTCTATAATGGTGTGAACTGTTTTTACATGGAATGGACGGGGTCCACTTGTCTAACTGAACAGATCGTTGGCTATTTTTATCGATGTTGATCGTTGGCTATGGCTATTTTCAGCCACTTGGAGACAATTTGCAGTCATTCATGGACTTAATGTTCCCAAACAAAGATGTAATTTTTATGGATGACAATGCGTCATGGCATAGGGCCACAATTGTTCGCAATTTCTTTGAAAACTATTCTGGACAATTCGAGCGAATGGATTGGCCATACAGATCATCCGACGTGAATACCATCGAACATTTACGGGACATAATCGAGAGGTCTGTTTGTCCAATAAAATCTTTGCACCGGCAACACTTACGCAATTATGGACGGCTATAGATGCAGCCTGGCTTAATATTTCTGCAGGGGACTTCCAACGACTTGCTGAGTCCACGCCACTTAGGGTGCCTTCCCACGGCGCGACCCCGGCGCGCTTCCTTCAAGCAGCAGAGCCCTTCCGACGCAGCCACCGCCGGAGCCACGGCCGCACCGCCGCCCGCCTGCGAAGCGAATGAGGTCTGGCAGGGTAGGTTTCGCCGACCCTCCGGCGACGACGAACAAGCGCGACCGGAGCAGGTAAAACCGCAGCGACCGCGGCCACAGTGGAGGCTCCCATTTAAGCTGTTACTGCTCGCGGTGCGCGTGCCCCTCCTCTTGCTTCGCGTAGCTGAGAGTTCGGCGTCGGTTGCCCAGCCGCCGCCACCCAGCTGCACGTGAAGTCCTCCATTCAAACCAATGCTTCTGCTTACGCGCCCGCGCTTCTGTGAAAGCGCGCCGCGGTCGCGCCGTGGGAAGTGGCCCTTCAGGGGTAGGTTTCGCCGACCCTCCGGCGACGACGAACAAAGGGGTCGCGGAAGGTAAAACGCAGTTGGAAACAGTATTCTGCTAGCGGTGCTTGCTGCACTTCGCCGGACAAAAGTAGGCCCGAGACGGTACGAGGAGGTATCCCATGACTTTTGTCACCTCAGTGAATGAACAAGAATATCAAGTATTCAGTGTAGTAAATACAGTTTTTAATTTTTCCCCTTTTTTCCTTTTCTTTTTTTTCTACCAAAGAAATTTAAATTATGCATTGCTCAATGGATCAGAGAAACTGGACGAAAACCTTGATCATAATAGGGCTCACTGACCCTGAAGCTCAGGTAAATGCAATCTCTGTTATATGCATAATTTGTCTTTTGGAATCATACAGTACAAATATATTAAATATCATTGTTAAAATCAATATTATTGTCCTTTTTGATGCTCAGTATAGTCTCTAATCGTAAAAAAGTTAATACGCTTTTAACGAACTCATCGAAACCTTCCAGTTATAAAATATATTCAAAATTAGGTGTGTTTGAGATATTTTTGTATTTTCGAAGCATTTCGATGATAATATTAATAGCACACGAATATAGAGCAGACATCTGCTCTTCTGTACGCAACTAGAACACTGGACTATATTAATATTGTTTATCCTGGCGTGATTTAAGAAAGCTCCATTGACAACACGTGACTCTCCAGCAAATAGTCACCTATAGATCCGTATTTTATATGTTCTAAGATACGCTAGTCAGAACAAAAGTTGATTTCATCCTCCAGCAACAGCAGTTTCTGAAGGAACGGCTTTGCCGTTGCGAGTTCACACAATCATCATACGAAAACCGTCTTATATCAGAAACCATTCGTGTTAAAGAAAATCTAAGCCCATCTTTCGATTCACGCGTGACACTTAGTAAATCTCATATATTTTCTTTTTTGATGATTTGACATTCTTGACTAGGTAAGTCCTTGAGATGTGTAATTCAACCTAATATGTATTTGACAGAGATGCGAGAGCTCAAAAAACCATGCACAGATTGCATTTCTACCCATAGTACGTCACACAGTTTTTAACTTATTTTCACAATAAATAAAACAAAGCTTCGGCAGAGTGTGCGGGTACTCGACGAGAAAGTCTCATACTCCACGATTTAAATGTGCCAAGCCTACAGATCCGTGCCAACCCTACAATGTATCATCAAGACATAATTCATATCTAATCTGTCGCTGTCCCCAGGTGCCACGTCTTGACCGATCACTCGCCCCTCCCCCCCAGGGACGAACGCACTTGATGGTTCTCCATTGGCGGCCATACTCTTCAGAAAAAACTCTTTCACACAGAAAAAACAACTTTTTTTATTCGCGAAAAAATAGCCAAAAAGAATTCTCAAAAATGTATGATATGAATAATAGTCAGCAAGGACTTGTTATTGATGTGACCTCTAAGGCACAATACACTACAGCAAATTTACTAAAAGTAATAATTCGCGCAATCCAGAAGTTTTTTCTTTAATTCCAGTCT